TTGTTTTTCTGTTTTCTATCTCATTAACTTCAGCTCTTGTTCTGATAATTTCTTTTCTTCTAAAGGCTGTAGGATTAGATTGTTTCTCTTTTTCTGGATGATGAAGGTGTTGAGTTAGATCATTGATTTTCTTTCTTCCTTTTTTATATGTGTACCTATTGCTATGAACTTCTCCATGAAGACTGCCTTAGCTGTATCCCAGAGGTTTTGGTATGTTGTATTTTCATTTTCATTTGTTTCAAGGAACTTTTTAATGTCATTCTTTATTTCTCTTATAACCCAATCATGTTCTAGCAGAGAGTTATTTAGCTTCCAGATGGATAATTTTGTAAGCTTTATGCTCCTGTGGTTAATTTTTTTGTTTTAGGACACTGTGATCTGAGAAGATATTTTGTATTAATTCAATGTTCTTTTAATTTGCTGAGGCTTGCTTTGTGTCCTAATGTGTGATCGATTTCTGAAGAACATATCATGTGAAATAGAGAAGATAGTGAATTGAGTTTTATTTTTGTATCATTCCCTGAATACATCCACTAGGTTGAGTTGGCTGATTGTTCAGGTCTTCTGCACCTTTGTTGAGTTTCTTTTCGACTGACCTATCCTTTGGTGATAGTGGTGTGCTGAAATCTCCTACCACTATTGCGATGTTGTCTATTTTTTTTTCTTCAATCCTGTTAACTGTTGTTTTATGTATTTTGTAGGTCTATTATTTGATGCATAAATGTTGACCAAGGTTATATCTTCTTGATCTATTGTGCTTTTAATCAGTATGTAATGTCCTTCCTTATCTTTTATCATGGTTTTCATTCTGAAATCTATTTTATCATAAATTAAAAATGCTAGCCCTGCTTGTCTGAAGTTGTCATTTGCTTGGTATATTTTTTTTCCCCCAGCCTTTGATTTTGAGCCTATCTTTTTCTTCTTTTTTTAGATGTGTCTCTTTTAGGCAACATATTGGTGGGCTTTTTTTTTTTATCCATTCTGCTACTACTCTTTTCCCTTTAATTGGTGCATTTAGTCCATTCACGTTAAGTGTGATTATTGTCCGACCAGGTTTTACTTTTGCCATTTTGCCATGCTTCTTTTTCAGTTGTTTCGGGTCACTATGGTGCATACACTTTCCTTTGACATCTCCGTGTGAAGGACTTCTTTTAAAATTTCTTGTAATTTTGGTCTTGTTTTCATATATTCCTTTAGTTCCTTCTATTCTGCAAAGGATCTAATTTCTCCTTCATATTTGATGAAGAGCTTCACTGGGTACAGGATCCTTGGCTGGCAATTGTTTTCTTTCAACTTTCTGTATATGCCATTCTATCGTCTTCTAACCTGCATGGTTTCTGCTGAGAAATCAAAACTTAATCTAATTGTTTCCCCTTTGTAGGTGACTCTTTGTTTTTCTCATGCTGTTTTTAGAATTCTAGCTTTATCTTTTAATTTGGAGAATTTGACTATGATATGTCTTGATGTTTTTCTTTTTGGGTCTAGTCTATTTGGTGTCTGCTGTGCTTCTAGAATGTGGATTTCCCCATTCTTCAAATACCTGGAAAGTTTAATTCTAGCACTTCTTCCACTTTTTTCTCAGTGATTTCTCTGTCACTTCCTTGTTCTGAAATTCCAATCATACGTATGTTATTCCATTTGATATCATCCCACATGATTGTAATGTTTTCTTCATTTTCTTTATGACTCATCTCTGATTTTTCTTCAAGTATGTTTTCAAACTCACTGACTCTGTTCCATCTCTTCAGTTCTACTTTTTTTGTGCTACCACTGTGTTGGACACTTCTGCCATTTTGGTCTTAATATTGTGGATTGCATTTTCATGCTTTTCTGTTATATCTAGTACTGTGTTGGCTACATCCTCTTTGTCTTGTGATGATTTTTTAAGTTCTTATACCTCTTTATCAACTTTTTCTTCCATCTTTTGCATTTTCTTCCATAGCTGTTCAAGTTGCTCCTCATCAATATTTCTTCTAGACTGTTGTTTCTGGAGTTTTTGTTTTCTTAATTGTTTCTTCCATCATTTGCATCTTCTTCTTCAGCTGTTCAAATAACTCCACATGAATATATTTTTTTCTGGCTCTCTATATCTGGGGTATTCATTGGGTCTGTTTTTTTTTAGGAGATGGGTTATTTTGGGGTTTTTTTTCATGACAACTGAGGCAGACTGATGCTTTCTTGACATTACGTGAGTCTTTTCTTAGTAGATGTTAAGTTGTTGTAACTATATAGTGACCAAGAGTATGGCAGTGTCTTGTAAAGGACGTGCATATTTGTGTTTTCTTCTTGATTCGGCCAAAGGTCAAACAGCAGTGATCCCCACAAAGTACTTGAATGGAAAACCAGGAAGCCTTGTTTTTTCCTTCAAGAACTAGCTCTGCCCCCTCACTCGAGCTCCAGCTGTTCCACTCTTTCTGCTTGAGCTCAAGGGGTCTCACATGGTCCAGCCAAACAGCAGTGATCACCACAAACTACCTGAACTGGAAAACCAGGAAAACTTGGTTTTCCCTTCAAGAACTGGCTCTGCTGTCTCATTCAAATTCCAGCTGTCCTGCTTACTCTGGGACAGGTCACTCTCAGGCCAAGACAGTACCTTTAAGACTAAGGTGCACCTGACCCAATGCATGAACTTTGCTATTGTTGCTGGGGTGAGATGATAGCTCATAAAATTTTTTTATAATCATTTCATCTCTCTTTCCCTTACTTTGTGAATGGCATTTACATATATATGTATGTATGTGTGTATATATATATTTAAAGACTATATAGATAAAAAATTAATATTATCTAAATAAATAGTTAAGGCACTAAAAATTCTTATTAACACATATTTGGGGTTGAACTTATAATTGCCTATTTTGAGAAAACTGTTTCTCTTTCCTGAGATAATTTCCTATCTATTTAAGATGAACATATTTCAAAACATTTTGATGAAATAAAAGATAATGTGTTCTTCTAAGAGAAATCTAATCACAGTTGCAAATACAAGTGAAAGAATATATTTAATAGATGAATGATCATCATGACACTAGTACTGTCATGCGAAATGAACAGTTGGATTTTTAAAGTGAGTTTTCAAGTTTATGAACAATTACCATGCATTTATCTTCAGCATATATTATTATAATTAAAGTATGAGTAATTACTTCCATTAGAATCAAAACATTACCTTGAGTATCACTAGAAATATAAATAAAACTGCCACATATTCCTTTCTTGTTATTTTAACCAGCAACACAATTGTTGCTCATGTAACCTGAAAAAATTCACTTTGTCATACATTTATTCAATGCAGAGCCACTAAACGCCTACCATATGTCAATAAAGGAGCCTCAGTAGTATGTGTGCACAGTGTTGCTCTGCTAACCAAAAGATCAATGGTTCAATGCTACCAGATGCTCCATAGGAGAGAGATGGGCAGCCACCTCCCATGAAGACTTTCAGCCCTGGAAACCCATTGGAGGGCCACTATGAGTCAGAACTGAGTTGACAGGAGCAGAGGTTTGGGATTTACATGCCAATAACCAACATGAGAGAATCTGAGACAAACCAAACGCAGCCACTGCTCTCTGTCTCAGAAAGCTTAGCCTAAAGAGTAGGTAAGCATGACCAAGTATTTGGGTTCCAAAACTGCCGTTTGCTACAAAATGTCATGGGATATCAACAAAAGGAATATTGGGATTCATACTAAAAGACTTTAATCAAAGTTGTCAAAAAGGTAGCATCAGAACTTAGCAAAAGAAAGAACACACATCGCTTATGCCTAAATCTCAGCACCTTACAGCCACTGTGACATTATACTAGTACTTTACACACTGATTTCACCCATCATCCAAACTACCACTGAGGTCATCATTTCAGAATAAGCCAGTGACCACCAGGATAAATAACTAGTGCAAGGAAGGGCCAGAAATCGAGTTCACATTCATTCTAGTCCACCACGCTGTCCAGGCTAAGCTTAACATTTCAGCACAGAAAATAGAAAAAGAATATAAATCAAAGAGAGATGGACATATATAAATAGTGAATTATCTTAGAGAAGAGACAATTGCTGTAACTTAAAATATATGTGTACATATAGAGATACTTACATACACACATAAAGAAAAATATGTATCAGAATGTTGTTGTTGTTTTTGTTAAGTGCTGTTGAGTCACAGGCGACTCATAGCGACCCTATGAAGGAGAGTCCTTGATGCCTGGGTGCCTTTCATCCTCTCTCCAGGCTCATAGGGTTTCCGGAGGCAAGCTATTATGGAAGTGGATGCCACTCCTTCTTCCACGCTTGTTTAATTGGGGAGCTCCACCCCACTCTCAGTCCGCACTGGGTAACCAACCATTAACGCATTTGACACATCTGTGTCAGAATAAAAAGGGAAAATGAAGATAATGTATGAATTGTGCCATGATTTAAAAATTCCACACTCAAATTGGGTATTTTAAAAAGAGATTTTTTTCATGACTGAGGCCACAAAGGAATTTATGTCGTTATTATAAAAATGTGTCCTTTATCAATCCTTCAGTCATCAAATACCTGAAGCAATTAATATTTGTCACCAACATGGACCCTTAATTAAATTATTTATGAGGCAACATGTAAATAAACATAATGACTCATTAAATTTCTACTTTATTATTCCTATATATTGCATTGGGAGTTCTGGTGGCCGAGGAGTGAGAAGCTGAGCTGCAATCTCAAAGGCACAGTGTTCGAATTCACCAGCTGCTCCACAGGAGTGGAATGGGCAATCTCCTCACAGGCAATTAACTGCCTCTGAAATCCCCCTGGAGGGTCAGGTATGCATCAGTTCTGACTCAACGACACACAACAAAAACACCATATTCTATTACACACAAACACACTGTTTTCCTTACCCTTGTTTCCTTTTTTTTACACACAGTAATAGTACAGTGATAGAGCGAAACTTGGTGTTCATAACAGAAAATGAACCTAATATAATCAAACTCTACTTTGAACATAATTCAAGAAGAAACTGTACCTCTGCATTGTGCTTCGCCGTCATTTCTAATTTTTCTTTCTTAGCCCGATGGAGTTTCTTTCTGAGATCAGCAACAACATCTAAGTCTGACTCACTTTTGAGCATTTGCTTTACATCAGATGGTTCATTCTTCAACCTATAAAATGGGAGCAAAATTAAATAAGAGAATGTTCATTCTCACTAAGTATATTTCAAAGTGTGTCCGATATTTCTAAACAGCAAGGTGCGGGGGGGTGGGGGTGGAAGTCTAAAAATGGGAACACAAAGATGCTCCTGAAAAGCTTGGTGGCCAGATCACCCTACAGCGAAAGTTATAGACACAAAGCTGCCAATCTTGTTTCGTTTTGTTTTTTTCCTTTCTTGCGTACCACTGACTCAGATCTGACAGGCACAGGAGGAGCGTGCCCCTCCTTCTCCAGCAGAGCATCTGGTGGATTCAAACTGCGTGCCTTCAGGATTGCAGCACAGCTTCTTGCCACTAGACCCCCAGAACTTCCTTCCAATCTTCATTTTTACCTTCTATTAAACGCAAAGGAGCCTTGGTGGCATAATGTATTATGTGTTGGTCTGCTAATTGAAATGTTAGTAGTTCGAGTCTACCAACTGCTCTGAGGTAGTCTCTTCCCATGAAAATGCACAACCCCAGAAATCTGATGGAGGGTTACCAGGAGTCAGGATCTAGTGGACATCAGAGGACGGGGTGGGTATTAACTATGAGGAGTAAAATGGGACACAGTCCCCAAAGCACCTGGCTGCTACTTACAGCAATACTACTCCTAGTAGGATCTACCCAAGAAAAACAAAAAATATGTCTATACAAAAACTTACATGCAAATATTGATGTTTCATCATAGCCAAATGTAGAAGCCAACAAAATATCTATACACTGGTGAATGAGTAAACAAAATGTGAGACACCTGTATAAATATTGTAACACTAAGCTCTGGTGGCCTAGTGAGTAGGGAGATGCAATGCCAACTCAAAGGCAGGTGGATTGAGTCCAGCAGCTGCTTCAGGAGAGAAAGACGGGCAATCTCCTTCCATTCAACTTATAGTCTCTGAAAACCTGCTGAAGGGTCCGCTGTGACTCAGGAGCACATACCACCAGCAATCAGTAATAAAAGATAAAAATGCTGATACATGAAGGAATTTTTTTTTCTTTTTCTTTTCGTAGAGGGGAGCGAACTGGTGGGGAGGGGTGGGCAGGGAGAAAAGTGCGGCAATGAATGAATGAAAATCCAAAATCTCTGTAAATGTTTATTAAAATTAATTTTTTAAAAAAGTAAAAAAAAATGCTGATATATGCAACAAGTTAGCACACCTCAAAAATAAGCCTCAGTGAGAGAAACAAGACCTAAAAGAGCACACATGGAATGATTCTATTTACATGAATTGTTCAGAAAGGGTAAATCCATAGAAACAGAAATGTAGCTGGTGACAGATAATGGAATTTAAATTAATTTAGCCTCATGCTAAATTTAGCCATTGAAAATCATGACAGATGACTATTGACATGGTAAGTTCTTTCTAAAATTGATGAGGCTACTAAAGATGTAAAAAAAAAAAGATGATTCTATTTTTGCTTTGGGGGTTTAATTCTAATTTTTAAAATACAACTATTCCTCACTTGTATTTTCAAAATTAGAACTGAAAAAAACCAAACAAAAACACAATTCAAGTAATATTTCACATATTCTCTATACCTATTCAATCTGTATGCTGAGCACTTAATTCATGAAACTGGGCTCAATGAAGAGAAATATGGCATCAGGATCGGAGGAAGATTCAACAACAAGCTGCCTTATGCAGATCACACAACTGTGCTTGATGAAAGTGAAGACTTGAAATGCTTCCTGAAGATGATCGAGGGCTACAGCCTTCAATATGGATTACATTTCAACATCAAGAAAACTCACCATCACTGTTTTCTGTTAATAGGCTACATAATGGTAGATAGAGAAAGTGCTGAGGTTGTCAAAGGTTTCACCTTGCTTGGATCAACAGTCAATACCTTTGGCATAGAACATCAGGATATGTATTACATTGGGCAAATCTGCTGTCAGGAACCTCTCCAAAATACAGAAGAGCAATAACATCAGTTCGAAGACTAAGGTGCACCTGATTCAGGTTATAATCTTTTTCAATCACTTGCTACACATCAGAGAGCTGGATAATGAATAAAGATAGCAGAAGAATTGATGCATTTGAAGCGTGGTATGAAAAAGAGCACTGAATATTCCTTGGACTGCCAAAGACCAAACAGATATGTCTTTGGAAAAGTGCAGCTATAGTGCCGCTTGTAGGCAAACATGGCAGTCTCATCTTTCATACTTTAGGCGTCTTGCTGGAAGAGGCTATTCTTTAGAAAGGGATGTCGTGCTTGGGAAGGTAGAAAGTCAACAAAAGAGAAGAAGACCTCCAACAAGAAAAACTGACTCAGTAACTGCCGCAGTGGACTCCAGTGTGTATGAGATGATGAGGCTGGCAACAAACAGGGCAGTTTCAGGTCTGTTGTTCAGACAGTCGTTATGGGTAACAATCAACAGCACCTTCCATAAAAACTCCTCACTTAGCAACTACTTTGTAATGTGACATTTCGCATTTACAACGTAAGTTTAAAAAAAAAAATCTACCACCCAACTCTTTTACACATGAACACCATACACCTGGCAGTAACGAACACTGAGGTGCCAGGAGCGAGCACTGCTGGCGGTGAGTGACAGGTAGGGGTGTATGTGAGCTCGGCGGGGCCATGATTCTCAGCGGTTGGGCAGTTACTAAATGATATTTAGCAGTTGTGTAAGGATATCATTTGTCAGTTGTTTAATGACATACAGGCTTCCTTTGGGTCATGAACATCCAATATATAAATTTTACTTGCACTTTAATTGCAGGACCTCAAACTAGTTTTGTCATTACAATATATGGGTGATCGGCCATGTTGACAAGAATGGGGAAAATTACAGATTGAAGTCGTGGCATGAGACCTGGAAAGAGTATAGTGACCCCTTTAGGAAGCCTTATGCATGAAATGGGATTATTAGCACATAGATTTAAAGTGACACAGTCAGCTACCATCTTTGAGCAAAGGGTCACTATGTTTGAAGAACTGCTTTAATGTCATATAAATCTGCTCTCATTTTGAAATTATTGAATCAATTCTACTATATATATATAGGAATGTATTTAATCTTCAAAACATTCACATTTTATGGACGCTAAAAGCAAGCCTGGGGAAGGCAGAAGTGTTTACCCCTAAGGATACAGTGAAGGAATGACAGAGGAAGTATTGAATCCAAGACATCTGAGACCTCCTCCACAGTGATCTAGAACTCTATTCTGCTTCTCTGTTTGTATACTCACCTATCTCAATCTGTTAACAGTGAGCTTCTTGAATTGAAGGAGGCAGGAGCTGCATGTCAATTCCTATTCTTAACAAAGTATTCATTACAATCACCTTCCCTTGCTGAACATGCAAATTTTAAATCACTGAAAAGTCTCTAGAGCTTTTTTGCACGGTTGTTACTGACCCTATAAACAATGGTCTGAACCCTATCCTTTCATATGCCTTCCTCATTATCTCTGCTAGACTTGACACCACTGACAGAGTTACTGTCATTCCACCCCATTGAGTGTCTCTCTCTCTTATACTGATCCTCCACCTTTTCAAGAATGATATTCCATTCCAAAGAACAGTCCCTCCTCCTAGCAAAATGTCCAAAATATATGAGACAAAGTTTCACCATCTTTGCCTCTAAGGAGCGTTCTGGCTGTATTTGTTTGTTCTTTTGGCAGTTTGTGGAATATTCAGTACTCTCTTCAATGTGCTGTTATTTTGCTCAGGTTATATTCCAAGACAGAGGGTCCAACTGCTTATCATTTGATATTCAGTACTCTTCTCCCACACAACTCAAAGGCATTGATTATTTTTCTGTCATGCTCAGTTACTGTTTAATACTCAGGGACATAGCAAATGCCTGAAAAGACTATGGCTTAAAACAGGCACACCATAGTCTTTAAATTGGCATCACTGCTCTTTAGTATTTTTATTGTTGTTGTTGTTGTTGTGTACCATCGAGTCAGATCCAACTGGCACAGAAGGAGATTGCCCCTCCTTCTCCAGCAGAGCATCTGGTAGATTTGCACTCCTTAGTTCTATAAAGAGGTGTTTGACAGCAGACTTTACCAATGCAATATGCCTTCTGATTTCCTGACTTCTGGTACCTAGCGTGTTGACTGTGGATCTAAGTAAGAGGAAATCATTGACATCTTCAATCTTTTCTCCATTTACCATGATTTTGATTATTGGTGATGAGAATTTCTGCCTTATTGATGTTGAGATTCAATCCATATTAAAGACTGTAGTCCTTGATCTTCTGCCGCAAATGTTCCAAGTTCTCACTTTCAGCAAGCAAGGTTGTGTCAGCTGCATAAACATGGGTTGTTGATGAGTCTTCCTCTGTTCCTGGTGCCACATTCTTCTTCATAAAGTCCAGCTTCTCAAATGATCCAATCAGCATACTGAATAGGTATGGAGTACAGATACAGCCCTGCGCACATCTTTCTTGACCTTAAGACATGCAGTGTTCTCTTGCTCTGTTCACACAACAGCTTCTTGGTCTAGATATAGGTTTCACCTTTAAGTCTTCTGGGATTCCCATTCTTCTCAATATTAGCCAAGAAGAACTATTTGCACCTTTCCTAAAGGACATACAAATTCTTAAAGTCATGATTAAGAACAGATCTCTTGCATTACCTGGGAGTTACTGGTCTTCACCCTCTATTTTTACATAATGACAATTTACTGTTAACAACCTGGTCTTTGGAGCCTAACCATGTTGATAAGTATAGAGTGGGTGTATTTTATACAAGTATCTTCATAAGAAAAAGCCTGGATAAATATGTACCTAAATATTATCAATAGTTAAGTGGTAAGATTACAAAAAGTTTTATTGTTTTGTTCTTGTCATTTGTAATTCTTATAAATCTAAACGTATTTTTGTATTTGAAAAAATATATAAATACATACATATGTATACCAGAGCAATGATTAACTTGACAATACTCTACTTAACAGGCTTTGAACCTTCAAGGGACCAAGGAGGCCAATTTTGTGAGGGCTTCTTCTGTTTCTTTCAAGATCTGAAAGTTTTACACACCTTTAAGATGAAATTTCATCAAAAGGAAAAAGAAATTCTATTTTATTTATTTATTCCCTACCTTGCTCCAGAAAGAATTTAAGGTAGCTTCTAAAGATAAGTGGGGTCAGTTTATTTAGCAAATCCTATTTATAGGTGAGGTGCACATTAGTCATGGAGCTTGCCCACCCACACAACCTTACTGAAGACACAGCCTAGATCAGGCGTTCTTAAACTCTGAGGAAGGACTATTACCTTTGATACTTTCCTAAAATATAAGAAAAAGAAATAACTAAAAAAATTCAAAACATTATTAGATTATCAGACATAAAATCACTATGCTAAAAATACTGTAGTTTTAAAAAAAAAAATTAAAAAATAAACAAACAAACCCATACTTTGAGATTCATTCATTCTCCAGGGGAGCTCTGGTGGCCTAGAGGCAAGAAGCTGCACTGCAATCCCAGAGGAGAGCATTTCGAATCCACCAGATGGTCTGCTAGAGAAGGAGGGACAATCTCCTCCTGTACCAGTCAGATCCGATTTAATGGTACACACACAAAAATTATTAATAATAAAAAAAACCACCAAGAGATTGACTCTCTTGAATGATAGAGTTCTTTATCATGGACAGCCATCACCAGATGTGACAGAACCAAACACAGCACTTCACCCAAGAACAGAAATAAATGGTACACAAATGATAAGCAATTAGATGCTCCATCCTGGAATATAAACTGAGTAAAATAACAGCACACTAAAGAGAGTATTAGGTTTCCCCAAATTGCCAAAAGAACAAATATGTGTCTTGGAAAATTAGAGACAAAAATAACAAAGCTTTATTTCACATGCTTTGGGCATGTGGTGAGGAGAGGCTATTCCTTGGAAAGGGCCAGCAGCTTACAAAGCTGGAGGGTCAGCAAATGAGAGGAAGATCTCAACTAATGCAGTGACCATAGCAAAGGGCTCAAGTGTGTCAGAGATGACAGGGACAGTACAGGATAGGAGAGGATTCAGATGCACTGTTCATAGGGTCACTATCAGTCATATTAGACGCAACAACTACAAACAACAACAGAAAATTTAAATAGAAGCTGTGAATTAGAATTAAGCGATAAGAGACATTAAAGCCAATGAGGTTATAACAAACCAAGGTAATCAAGCAAACAAAAATGTGAATTAGCAGCAAAGGAAAGGACCAAAGGCAGCAGAAAAGGAAAAGCCAGTGACAAAAGAACAGATAAGTGGATCTTTGTGCTCCAAGTTCACAAAAGTAGTACAAAGTTCCAGAAAGCTCTGGTGGCCTAGTGTCAAGAAGCTGCACTGCAATCCCAGAGGCATGTGGTTCAAATCCACCAGATGCTCTACTGGAGAAGGAGGGACAATCTCCTCCTGTACCAGTCAGATCCGATTTGACACGGCCAGTACACACACACTCAAAATAATAAATTTAAAAAAAAAAAAACCAACCACAAAGTGCCTCACACAGTCTCAAAATCCACTCCCAACTAGATTGAGGCATCATTCCTGCTCCTCAAACCACCTTCGCTCCCACCCCAGTGAAAAGGAATTGCACTGCTAACCCAAAAGTATGCAGTTCAAATCCACCAGCTGCTCCACGGGAGAAAGTTAAGCAGTCTGCTCCAGTGTGATTTACTGCCCCGGAATACATACTGGAGGGCCCACCAAGGGTCAGTTCCGACTCCACGGAACATAACAACAACTATCTAGCCAAATTCTGACTCATAGAGAGTCAGGGCAGAAGAGAATTACTGCAGGAGCGTGTCAAGTTCATCTTCCAAGGTAAGAGCAGACTGCTACCTCCTTCTCCACGGAGCCACTAACAGATTGGAGCCCCCACCTTTCATTAGCAACTGGTGCTTAAGCACTGCATCACCATGGCTGCTGTTCCAGTTCTACTCACAGGAAGCTGCCACTACTCTTATTATCCCATAAAAATGCTTACCATCCACCCCACCACCCATTTATTCTGCAGCTTACCTTTGGATCTCACCAGCAGGGTTACTTGCATTACTTAAACTCATGATAAAACTGTCAACTCTTTCAAAACACCTGTATCTTAATGATTGACTTCTTTATTGATGGTTAAAATCTTCCAAGATGTCTGTGGTTTACAGGTTAGATAGACCAAAGTCTGTTAAAACAGTAAACAATATTGAAAACGGTTATCTTTGAATCTTGAGATACAGAGTGACTTTTATCCCCCTTAGTGTTGTTCTTTTCTCTTTTTCGGCTGAGATATATTTCTTTTTATTTTTTTTAATTGATATTTTAATGAAAGTTTACAGAAAACTTCAATTTCCATTCATTCATTGTTGCAAATTTTCCTCTCTACCTTCTCTTGCCCAAGTTAGTTTCTCTATCCAAAAAGATTCTTTCATTGTCACACAATTTCTCTCTGCTCTACCCCTCTCCCCCCAGTCCACTTGCTAAACACCTCCTATTCTGGACTGTTGTCATGCAAATAATACCTAATCATATATTCCTTTTAAACAGTTCTTTCGAGAGAATGTTCTTTCTGTCTCAGTACAGTATTCATTATTTACACCTTCTTTTCTTAGTTTTTCCCCCAACAGCCATGTCAGCCCTGTTTTATAACAGTGGCATTATGCAGTATTTATCCTTTTGTGACTGAGATATTTCACTCAGCATAACATCCTCTAGGGTCAGCCATTTTGTATAGTATTTTATAAGTTCCTTGATTTTCAGTGCTGTGTATAGCACACCTTCTCTATCCACTCATTTACTGATGGTCACTTGGATTGCTTCCATCTCTATTATTGTGAACAACACAGCAATAAACATGGGTGTGCATGTATCTGTTTGGGTGGAAGCTCTGGTTTCTTTAGGGTAATTCCAGTTAGTGCAATTGCTGGATCAAATGGTATTTCTTTTTA